GGGGGGGGGGGGGGGGGGGGGGGGGGGGGGGTGCAAAGACACTTCTGCACCTTAACCTCTTACATGCTATTAGCTACTTCCACAGGTTTGTGACCAATCAGATCCCACTTCTGTCATTAAGAGACTGGGCCCCAGTTCATCCCCTCATTCTGGTATGTCTGATAGTGTCTGATGATTAAAGGTGGTATCCTGCTGCAGATGCTGCTCTCAGGTGTTCCTGTCCGCTCTTCTCGCATTACAGGTCAAGTCCCATATGACTGCCCTTTGGATTCAGAAATGCTCCCTTACGGGGAAAAACTGCCCCCCTCCTGGAAGCCGGCGTATATATACAGGCCGAGTACATCGGACTGTTCCAACGGGAGTCCCGGGGGGAACTTGATACCCATTTCATTTTTGTGTGAAAGCCAAGCTATTAATAGGGCTGTTCTAATCCGACATGGGACGGATAAACCAGCTGGTCCCCAAGGAGCTCGCGAGCCGCAGAGCTTCCTGCGGAAGGACATCCACCGGGTCTCGCTTACCCACGATGCCTTGCTTGCTTCTGAGGTTTGTCTGGGGGCAGCAGGAAACCCTTGGAGAACCAGGTTAGATGAACCACCCAAGCAGGTGCTGGAAGCCACAGAGCTTTAGAACTCCCCTTGTTGTCGATAGATGTACCTCAACAGAAACCGGACAGTTTAATCCCTGCCTTCCTCCCGCCCTTTATAAGTAAAATAAAGCATTTCATAATAATGAGAGGCCAAGGTAAATATCTTTGGTTGTCAAAGGAGGAGATTGGTGCCGGCTGTGCATTTGGTTGAAAGGCGTGAGATACAACACCCACTCCCAAAGCCACTCACGTTTCCTCACACGCTGCCGCTCTTCTGGAAAGCTCTCGCTAATGTGAATTAGCGCCTGTGCTTTTTCGGGCCGTTTCGAGCAGCCAGATACAGGGCTCCGGGCAGCCTTGCGTTTCCGTGGATTATGCACCGCAAGCCCACAGATTTACACAGAACTTTTAATGAGCTTAAACTTTTAAAAAAATGGACAGAAGCTAATTAGTTCTTCGGGCGAACGGGAATGAAACAGTATGCCTCGATAGGTGGGAGAGAAAACGGCGACGTGCTTTCTTCTAAAAAGGGCGTGGCAGATGTTTTTCCCCACCTGTTAAACAAGGCGTTACGCACACGGGCACCTGTGAAGCAGCCACCTTCCCAGAATCCTCCTCTTCTAGTTGCTTGAATCGGGCCAAAGCAGAGGGTTGCGGGAAGACGGTTGGGCTCCGGGGCAAAACAAAGGCGCTAGGTGCCCCCCACCCCCCCGTCACCCCAAGCTCAGCCTCCTGAGAAATGGCCAGCCTTCCATATATTACTGCCACAAGATAACATTCCTTCCACTCTCAGGGCTCATATGTGAACCATCAGACAGGCATGGAGAACGTCGGCTCCCAGGGGGACGGCATCAGGGTGCTGAGGCAGCATGCGTCTCGTTAAACAAGTTACTGTCAACAAAACGACATCTCTGTTTGGTACGGCCTTGATGGAGTACAGACGTCTGGAAGAGCAAAAGCGCAGTACAAATCCAGGTATTTTTAAATAATTGGCTATGCTAGTGAAAAAAACACAACAGTACTGTTACGCTTTGTATGTGCGTGTGTAAAAAGTAGGTAATGACCCTGCTGAGGTGTCGTTTACCGTTAGGCTATTGTGCAAATGCCTGAAGGCTTTATTAAAAATCAATTTTTGACATCGGAGCTCATAAGGCACTGTTATTGTACGTTGTCTGCCGATGGTGCGGACGGCAGAGGAATGCTACGTGTTGACATTTCTCTCTCCACCAATGAGGTAAGACCTGGCATCACTCCAGCCATCTGGAATCAGAGCTGCGGTCAAAGGAGGGGTGCGAACTCTGAGGGGAAGCATTAATGGAAGGAATGATGTCATAGATGAAGGGAAAAAAAACAAGTGTTACTTTTGAACACTGGGCAGAGTGATTGTTTCATGCAGTGTCCTGGTGGACGCCTCTTCTAACCAAGTCATTAGGGTGACCATACGTCCTACGTCCTTTTTTCCCTGGACTTGTCCTCTTGTTTTGGGACGTAAAAAGCCTGAAATGTCTGGGAATTTAACTTTCTTTCAAGTTGACATTTGCTTTAAACGGTCAGCCATCAGTGAAGTTCTCCCCAAATGAGCTTGATGGGCCGAATGGCCTCCTCTCGTTTGTAAATTTCTTATGGTCAGGATTCTTTCTGCGTATATATCTACGCTGCTTTGCCGCCTCTCATAGCGTCCGTCGTCCGGCATCTTGTTTTTCGCAAAGCAAACTATGACCACCCTACAGATGACCCAACAGAAAATGTCCACCCCACGCTGATGAATCCTCCGGAAGCTCTCATTCTAGCTAATTGTATGCGGTCTATTTGAACCACGATCTTGCGAAATCCTCATTGTGGAGCTCGTGCTGTTATTCCGACAGCTGTTTAGTGGGTCTGCATGTTTGCTTCTGCTCTTTATTGAATCCTACACAATCCTGTCAGCACACAGTGACAAATGGGTAGACAAACCAGTTGGGACAGGTGCTCTGGTGTGAAACAGTCATACATACAGAATAGAAGGAGCCAAACAGAAGCACAATGACACACACACACATTATTAATGTATGCGAATGGTCCTGCACACGCCAAAACAATTTAAGTTTAATCGTCATTTAACTTCACGTTATGATGATGAAATCGCTTTCCCTAGGCGAAAAAAATAAATAAATAAATAATTTTTTTTTAAAAATCACCCATCTTCTCAGGTTAAATGATGCCAACAGCCCCCTCTAGTGTTGTGATAAGAAATTGAGCCCATATTCAGTAAACAGCCTTAAACATCTGGTGAGGAACATTCATCTCTCTTTATAAGTTTCAATATGGGGCTGTGAGGCACCGAGGGCGTAACTGGTTCAGGACGTCATTCCTTTAACTCCCAGTGCAATGCACTGGTCTCCACACAGCCCTGATTTAAGTCAGGTACGTAACGTCCCTAAGGGCTAATTTTAGATGAATCATTACTACAGAGAGCTACAAAAAAATGCTTGGACTAAATGCACATCACTGTCCCCAATTTTAGATATTATCAGCAATACTGCTAGTCTGTCTCATTCCAAGCTTGGTATTAAACCAGCACAGACAGCAAAGAACCTGGGACTGATTCAGCCTCTACTCTTCAATTCATGTCAGTACTTTTATTTCCAATTGCAAGACAATACGTGGGGTAATTGCCTGCTTTCTAATGTTTTATTGAGGCTGTTGCTCATAGAATGAACGAACTTTCATTAATATTAGGGCCCCGATAAGATTCTCACGCCGGTGTTGACATATTGAGGTCAAGAGCCAATGAACACTGGGCACTAATGGGGACCTTTTTAAAACAGAGCTGCATGCGAGGTTCCATCCATCCATCCAATTCAGGGTTGCAGGGGTCTGGAGCTTATTCTGGGAGCTACGGGCACAAAGCGGGGAATAACCCAGGATGGATTAACCCATTGCAGGGTGTACACAGGGACAACATGCAAACCAGAGAACCCAGAGGAACCCGCACAGGGACAACATGCAAACCAGAGAACCCAGAGGAACCCGCACAGGGACAACATGCAAACCAGAGAACCCAGAGGAACCCGCACAGGGACAACATGCAAACCAGAGAACCCAGAGGAACCCGCACAGGGACAACATGCAAACCACACAAACATTGTGTTGCCCCCATACAGGACCAAAGATCCTCAAAAATAAAAAATTACATATCTTCTGAGGACATCTTAGACAAAACTAGAAAACATTTATTGTATAAACACTTGATCCAACTACATAAACAAAGTGGCAACATCACAGTGAAATTGGCCATTAATGCGTTAATAAGGAGGTAAGACGCCACACTGGAAGGTCAGATGCTGAGGGCCAGCATTCAGCAATGACATCCCATAAAAGAACTGGAAGGTTTTGAGATTTTCACAGATTTACTGCCTTCTGACCTCAATTAAACAGAAAAATATAGCCTCCTCTCTTCAAAATGGACAACCCCCATTTTAATAGTTTCAACACCTTTTCACAAACAAAAAAGAAATACTAAATTTCCAGCAGTATCAAGTATTATTTATTAATCAGTAAATCTAAAAAATGTAAAACATAAAAAGGGTTAAAAAATAATTTTCTCCCATCACTGCATTAGTAAATTCAGGCTTTGCATTTTCTTGATTTATCATGTCACCCATAGGACAGCTGAAGAAATCAGGTTTTACAGTATAATTAATGTAATGTAGGCCCACACAAACTCCTGGCACATTAGTTTTCAGTTCACTTATCACAATTACACAATGCACTGCAATGTCAGTGAAGCTACAGGTACCCTTCTTAGAGATTTAAAACGCCATGTACAGTATTAAGCAGATGCAATGCAAGTCAGTGCAGTGATGACCTCATCGCCAAATGCACCAATGAGAGACGCAGATTTATCTAGTTTAAAACGAAAGTGCATATGACCTGACAGCTGAGAATCACAGATGTGAATCATCATTACAGAAAGATCCAGGAAAAAATTTAGACTTCATTTTAAATGATGCATAAACGTTACTCCTGTAATATTTCTGACAAAGTCTAACATACGGTGGTCTGAAGGTTCATAACCCAGCCCACTGAACACTAAGATTTTTTTTTTTTAATACTTTGCTTGTGATTATTTCAGTGGTGCCGAGCCTACAACTGTGTCTGGGAATTGCTCAGAATTAACATTGCCCTTTGCACCAGAGTGTGCACCCAGCGCACCTCTAATCCCACTGGAGCTGTCCAAGTCACAAGCACTGTAAGTAAAAGAAAGATAAAACGCACTGATCACCTTTCACAGATCGCATGCACGCACGCACACACGCACGCACGCACGCAGACCAGCACTAGCGCGATTCCCCGCTGCCTAGGCGGAGTGGAGGGCAAACTCCACTTTGAGGCAGCCGAACTCTTTTCCCTGTGAGCCGATCTTAGCCTCCACCTGATAGTTGCCGTTGGTCAGCCAGAAAGGAAGGTCCACGTTGGGCAGGTAGAAGTCAGACTTGGGCAGAGTGTATTGCCCCTGTAAAGAAGAAGAAGTCAGTGTTTACAACGCTGCAAACAGACACCGAAGCAGCCACAGCAAGCAACCGATTCAAACCCAGAGCTACGCCAGATGACATAAAAACAATATTTAAAAATATGGTATCACTTTACAATAAGGCTCCCTTTGCCACTTATAAATGATAGTAACTCATTAATAAAAAGAAATCTGTTATAACTTGTTTAAAATGGCCTATTAATAAAAGTGTTACAACCTAATTAATAACCAGATTATAAACCATTCATAAAAACTCTTTATATGGGTAACTTTATTGTAAAGTGCCACCAAAAATGCTACGATATGGATCTTGATAGTGATAAATTTATAATAATTCACAAACATTTTTCAAAAATGTTAAGAAAACTAGAGCTTGTTTTGCTTAAAGTTCTAATAATTATGCAAATGTTACTTTCAAAAACATGGTTGTGCTTTTAAGATGAAGCATGTTGCTTGCTTCACCCATTCCGACAGAAATCATTTCCCGACAGTTTACATCTTGCCCGCTGAAGTCAAAATACAGCCAAAGAGTTGATACTGCCTCCCCTTTAGCTGCCAAACTGTCAGGCTTGCCTGAAGGGAGTCTGGCACTGGAACTCATGATCTATCGGTCACATGCCCAGCATGCTGCTTCGGATTTGAGGAAGGGTGATGTCTGGACGACAAGAAAGCATGTGGCCGAATACGGCACGTGGGTGTTGTAGTTTTTGGGTGGAATATGGCACGTGGGTGTTGTAGTTTTTAAAAGGACAGTTCACGAAAGGGGGGAAAGTAAATTCCAAACATATGAAGATTGGCAAAATTCAGCAAATGCTGTTTCACGTCAGAATCAGTACATTTTTGCTACACCGTCGAGCCCGATTCCAGAGTCATGGTCACCATACAAATTCACTGTTACGGTGGTTGCCACCATTTAATCCAACATTTGAAATGCTGAAATGATGACGTCGATCCGATTTAAACCTGGCCATCAGATTTCAGGCGTAAGGAAGCGAAATTCTGGCTAAAGCACAGAACATCTGGACCTTTCTCTGGGCAATAAACCGTGATGCGCCATGAGCTTTATGCAACCACATGCATTCCAGAAGCATAACCAAGAGTCAAGTTGTACAACCGGCTACAGTCTGTTCTTTGTAGCGACACGCAGAAAGCAGCTTTACAAAGGTAGGGCGGGAAAGAGGACAAAGGAGTGACATTAAGCTCCCGTTTCTGCGGGCGGCGGGGGCCGAAGGCATTGTGTTTGGCCGCACTTCACTAATACGCTACACTGGGTCACAAGCCGCTCGCAGGTCAAACCAAAGTCACAAGGACGTCATGTGACTGTCATGCAGTCGGTCTGAAAGACGACGATGGGGAGGAGGACCTGAACTCTGAGGAAGTGCAGCGGAGTGGAATAAAGGGCGGAGCATTAGAGAAGCGCGCATTTCAGAGGACTGTGGGTGTGACAGTGTACAGAGCTGCTGGAGAGCGACACAGTGTGTGTATGGCTGAGTGCGGAACACTGCTGCCTGACGCTGCCGCTCTGCGTGACGAGGTGCTCCCCCTGGAGGCCAAACACAGTTAGGCTCTCTAAACTGCCCAGAGTGTGCAGTGTTCAGTACTGTACAAAAGGCTTAGGCAGTCCAAAAAAGAGAAAAGTCGAAAGTTATTTATCCAGGGAGCAAGTCTAAATCTGATCAGGGAAAACACACACACACACACACACACACACACACACACACACACACACACACACACTTTAAAACATACGCAAATAAAGAGAAACACAATACAGTGATCCCCCGCTATATCGCGGCTCAGCTATCGCGCCCCTGCTATATCGTGGATTTTCACCTATACCTTTTAAAGCGTGTGGGAGGGGTATTTTAAGGCGTAAACTATAAAAAAATGTTTATATGGTCTTTCTATATCGCAGATTTTCACCTATGGCTGATGGGTCTGGAGCGTAACTTCCGCGACAGGCGGGGGAACCACTGTATACTAGCAAGAATTTCTCCTTTTCTCCAAAAAGTTACTGATATCTAGTTGGACGGCTAGAACCCCGCTTCAGCTCCCAAACCTCTCCTCAGGGGCACCTCAGCCATTCCATGTATCTGTTTAAGTTCCACTCAATTAATTAATTAGTGAAATTATTTAGCATTAATTATCCAAACATGCTCTGCTAGTGGTCGAGTCAACAAATATTGGCATTCTATCTAGGATGTATCCCAGCCTAGTGCCCTGGGATGCCTGAGATGGGGGGGGGGGGGGGGCTGAGGATAACCCCTTGATTGACACCCCCACACAGCCAGGGACAGGAACTCACAGCTTTGAAGGGACAGTGACAGGGCAGTGCGTATGTGTGCAGGGGTTCCGGACAGTCCTGTCCCGGGGGGATGAGCTGGTCCAGCAGTGCGCAAACGTCGTCGTAGTCACAGCTGCCCAGATCGTCCACGCAGGGGACCTTCACCCAGAAACCGGCCACTTCCTTCTCCACGGTCAGGTTCACCTAAGGGATGGAGATCCAGTCGGCTCCGCGTTAATCACCAATGTCGGGGCCACATGGATTTTACAGTACATCCATCCAAAAGAGCTCCATTAGTAAAGGAGACAGGTTTGCCAGGAAACTACAGAATAAGCCAAACAGCTCATCAAGACGCACAAACTCAAGCGGCTGGTTTTAAGCTTCCCGGATGCTTCCCTGATCACAGAGTGGGGCACATGCAAAGGATTAATTCCCAATCAAGCCAGAGTGTTAAGAAGGAAAAAGCCCCACACGATTCGCAGCAGGAAGTCGATAGATGCCTGCTTACAAAGAACACACTGACGAAACAGCAACTAAAGCTAACATCTTGATATGACAGCAAAGTGTCAAGCAGGTCCGAAAAGTTCAACACAGAGCTATGCGGATACAAAAGCCTGCACCATCCCCACAGAGCCCCCCGGATTAATCCATAAAGTAGGCAGGACAAATATACAGCACGGCTTTTAATCGACATAACATATAATACAGGAAGCAACGTGGAATATAATCTTGCCAAGACTTGCACGACTTGCAAAGTTCATGCTATTAAAATTCACAAAACCGCATCCGAAGCGGAACCAGTATTGCATGCTCTTGCTGTCGCCTTACATTTCTAAGCTTACCTGAAGAGGACTGCTTAACTCCACCTTAGTGTAACCCGAAGCGCTGGCGGACAAGTCCCCGGGAATCGTGATGGGGTCCGGGGACACTTCGAGGCTCTTCATCATCGCGGGGGCATCTGGGGCGCCGCAGTTTGCCCACGAAAAGCCCATGACCTGCAGACCCCCGAATGGGTTACAGAATATCCCTGGAATATCTACAGAAAATCTGGGTTCTAATGCATCAGTGCGTCCAACCATCCATCCCAGTCTATCCCACGCACGGCTGCGGTGAGCCCGCAGCCTACTCACCGTTACATATGTGCGTGTTACTGTTAAGTCACTTGCTCCTAGGCGGACGCAAACTGCAATGGCGCAGAGGGACACGAAGAGAGAAGCACGGCTCCGCATTCTGTCAGTTAAGACCTGCAACAGTGCAGCTTCACAAGAAAAACCAAATAAGCTGCAGGGACACAAACCCTGCTTTAAGGAAGACTGCAATGAATAGACACTTACAGATTGGCGACGATCTTCCCGTGAAACACAGTGATAAACTGCCCCGCCTGAAATGTTTAACCTTCCGTGTTTAAGAGAAGAGACCACGTGAGAGTCCCGTAAAAGACGGTGGACTGGGCAATACCGTCTCAGCCACGCCCATTTTCTGATGATTGGCCAGAAACCCAACCAATGAATGATCCACTTTGATTAACCCTGAGCAATCCAGTAAAATAATAATAATAATAATAATAATAAATATAATTAATTTAATTTAATAATGTAATTTGTATTATATAAATAGTGTATGTGTATTTTGTTTTTTAGAACTTTACTGTTAAATTCGGATTACATATTACATTAACCCTTTAATTTGAATCAATTCAAATCCTACATACAGGACACACATGAACAATAGAGGCACAGATAAGCATAGGATGTACAGTACATGTGTATGTGTGCAATACAGAAGCATTGGTTTGGGGTGTAAATTAGTGTGTTTAGAGAGAATCACATTTAAAATGTTTTAAATGTTTATATTAAGATACCATTTTTGAAAATTGTATCTTAATATAAACAGTTAAAACATTTTAAATGTGATGCTACTACTGGTTTCTTTGAAGCTGATATTTTTTGCAAATCTTGCAGACTTTGACAAACAAAGGCAATTTACACGCTTGACAATCACATGGCCCCCCATGACTGGGGGTATCTTACAATAAAAGGCAATAAGAAGTCGGTGCAAAAATCATATGAGATACAGAGCTGCTGATGGTCATAAGTTTTACAGACTTTGTACTGCCATTGCTGACTTATATAATGTGTCATGGGTATTAGGAAGTAGTAGTAATCAAGACATTGAATTTTCTGTTTGTTCTGGTACATAGCAGTTCATGGGCAGACAAAGTGTAACAGCGCATTATGTTATAACTCAACAGAATATAACAAATTGAATGATGATGATAATAGCGACGATGATGATAATAATAATAATAGTAGGGTAATGTTGCCACATAAAATTATAATGCAATCTATAAATTTGTAACATTTTTCGACAGTGTAACAAATTTCCATCACATTCTCATGCACTATGTAATAACATCGTATTATGTGATGAAAATTTGGTACACTGTGTTGAGTTATTACATAATGTGGCATTATTACATAATGCATTGTAACAGACAGCCAATTAATTACATACAGGACACATGCACAACAGAGACACAGATAAGCATAGGACACATGTTGATGTACAGTAAATGTGTATGTGTGCAATACAGAAGCTTTGGTTTGGGGTGTAAATCAGTGGGTTTTGGGATCTGAGCGAGCAGATTGTGTGTTGAAATCCTGAGTAATCATATCGCTGTTAGGCCTTTGGGGAAAGGTTAGGGGGGTCTGGAGCTCTCAAATATGGCTTTATGGCCTTTACAAAGTCTGTCAGCGTGTGCAGTTTTGCTGGAAGGAAAATGCTGTCTTGTGATTTCTTCCCGAATGTCCTGCAAGTCACCCAGCGACTGGCAGAGGTCCAGTGTGAGGCTGCTGTCAGTGTTACTGCTGGCTAAAACACCCAGTGACTGGCAGAGGTCCAGCGTGAGGCTGCTGTCAGTGTTAACGCTGGTTAAAACACCCAGTGACTGGCAGAGGTCCAGCGTGAGGCTGCTGTCAGTGTTACTGCTGGTTAAAACTCAACAACAAACAAGAAGATGATGAGCTGGAACCACAAACAATCACACAGCATAACCGGTGCTTTGTAAGGGGTGTCGCCCAAACTCCATGCCAGCAGGAAGTGCCCTGCAGTCACACCAGCAGCCCTCCACAGCTGCCAGTCACTTTTTTTACTCTGCAATATATTTTTTTGTGCTTTTACGTAAACTATTTGAATCAGATACATCTTCATATGTGAGTTCCGGAGTTATACTCTCGTGTTTGTCTCCCATTTGTCAACCTACATTTTGACGTATTTTCACGGCAGGCGAACCTTAGTGGATACTGTATATGGTAACACTCGCACATGTACGTTTTCACCACTAGATGGCACTCTTTCACTTGTTTTAATTTGCCGTACCATTCCTTCACCTCTGTTCGTTAAACAAAACAGCAAGATGGTATTCTGTGACCCTGACAATGTACCCATAAGGTAAGGTTCTTGGGTAACATAAAATAAAAAAAGTCTGTTCTCCTCCTAGGTACACCTTATGCTGCGGTTAATTAAATTTAAATATCAATATATAAAGGTATTTCAGCAGGCTGTACATAAGGCATTCAGGCAGAGTTAATGACTTTACACTTTCCGGACTGTATATTTGCTGTTGCCCGATTATTTAATTCAGCCCCAGCGAGCACGATCACTGGTCCGACAGCGCTGCAAGGGGTGCCCTCATTCAGTATGCAGATAGTTTAGTGTCTGAACCCCTGATTGAACTCCGTCGTCTTATTCTGTGGATGTACTGGGAAGCTGTGCGTGTGAGTTCATGCTCGGGCACGGAGCTCAGGAACGCGCAGCGGCCCGTGCAGTTCGCACGGAGTCCGGGTATCTAGCTGCACGGAAGGGGTGGTGGGACAGGCGTTTGGGAGCGGCTATGTTTCAAAACGGGGATAAAAATCAAACCACAGATGCACAGATATATCACGCGTCTCTTCTTGCAGATCAATCCCTGCGTTTATTCGATAAGCATCTGCATCATAAGTATCACATTACTAGTGTTTCTGTGTTTTCGGTTGGCGTCTTTGTTAAGTGGTGTAGCTTGAAGTAGGTTATTTACCGCGTTAATTCTTTCACCTGTTTTGTTTCTAACCGGTTTTTCGTTAATTTCGCGTTGCCTAAAACGATATGCTTCGTTGTACTCATTTTCTCCTCACTCCACGGTTGAGTGCCGTGAACAACGACATAAAAAACGACAACGATCAATAGAGGAAAAGCGCTCTTTGGCTTTGATCTTGATACTACTTTCTTTTCTCTTTATATTTTGCATTTTCAGTGCTGGAGGGTGGAGGTACGACCGCTTCTTCACGCTGATAACTAACAGTTGTATGAAGGAGTTGGTCTTAGCTTTCCTCTTGCCTGTTGAATCGAAGCCCTGGCCTCGCATATAAAGGCGGCAAACACGCTAGGACATATACGAACAATGCATATGTAAGCATGCACAGGTCATGCATTGCCATTACACACACGCATGTCGGGTAAACATATCCTTATGGGGACCGCTCATTTATTTCTATGGGAAAAATGCTAACGCATGACAACCCTAACCCCTACCAATCCCCGACCAGCAAGGCACCACTGAGATACCATGAACAAGGTACCGCCCCCAAGCACTGCTCCCCGGGCGCTGTATTAGCTGCCTCCTGCTATGTCACGATGTCACATATGGGTTAAATGCAGAGGACACATTTGGTTGTTGTACACTGTGTGCTGTGGTGTGTCAACAAAGACCACTGATCACCAAATTCTAATTCTAATTCATAAGTAACCAAGCAAAATACAAGAGTTTTTCCATTTTTAGTTTTTTCATTAAAGTCACAGATTTTTCTTAAATTGAGATTAATTGGGGGGAAAATCTGATATTCATCAAGTTGTGGGGACAATATGTTCCCATAAGGTAAGGTGTGCCCGCTCACACACATACACACACACACACAGACCTGTACTCATATTTGATATTGTGGGGACCGTCCATTCATTTCCATGGGCAAAACCCTAATCCCAACAATGACCCTAACCCCTACCCAGCCCTAACCTCAACCATATGTAACCAAACTAAATACAGTGGCACCTCGGTTCTCGAACTTAATCCGTTCCGGACTCCGGATCGAATCCTAAAAAGTTCGAGTTCTGATCGAATTTTTCCCATAAGAAATAATGGAAAACCAATTAATTGGTTCCCGGCCCCCAAAATTACACCTAAATATGTTTCTTTTTTCTTTTTAGCATTTAAACACAAAATTAACAGGATAAAACAAGAAGAGCATTTTTTTCTTAACGGCTTCCAAAACGATAAAGATCTTATCCCAACAGTACCCCTGTCCTGCCCCGATCGTCCGCTCCTTCTGTGTGCCACGCCCCCTCATTAACCTCGTGTGGGATCCCCATGTGATCAGCTGTTTCAAGTTGTTGTCATTAGTCCTCTGTATTAAGTCCGCGTTTCAGTTTGTTTCCCCAGTCCAGTCGTTGGGTGCGTTCGACTTGCTTACAGCGCTGGCTTAAAACAATGCATTCCGATCCTGACGCAATGCATTACGGTTAGATGCATTGCGACCTTTCACCCGGCTGCACGAACTGGAACCGACTCCGTGACGACACACTTTTGCTCTTATTGGCTGAAGAGTTTAGTTACACGCATGACGTTTATATCCCAGGCAGTTCTGATGCGTAATCTGCTATTTCTCCCGAATATCACGTAAAGCAGTGAGAACTGGTTTTCAGTTAATTTACCTGGTAAAATAAAGTTTAAATAAATGACATAAATACTCTAATAGTACACGTAAGTTAGTAGTTTATTTATTGTTAGTTACTGTAATGTTGCGCTGCTTTATTTGGTTAATCGTCCAGTTAGTGAAGAAGGCATTCAAGTAAGAATTCATTGTAGTATGACTCATTTCCTGGCGCGTACAATTTATATTAGGTCAGCGTTCACGGTTCGACAGATCGAAACTGGTTTGTTCGACTTTCAAGAAATTCGAGTTCGAGAACCGAGGTACCACTGTACAAGACTTTTGATATTTTTAGTTTTTTTTTTTTATTGCAGTCACAGATTGTTTTTATATATAAAATTGAGTTTCCCCTTGTGGGGACCAAAAAAAAAATAAATCAAGGCCTTAATTATAATGTTTTTTTTTTTTGAGAGTGGGGGCACATCCCCCCAATATTCAGATGTGCTCACAGTGTCCCCCCGTAGTATATATTATAATCATGGGCTTTGTCCCCCCCCCCAATGCTGACTCCATAGCTACAGCCTTTCAGCTTTACAGGTCCCCACAACGTCAAAATAACAGGATTTTATCACATTTGGTCCCCGCAATGTAATATATACTTAACCCACACACAAACACACACAGATACTTCTGTGAGTATGTGTAGTGTATTGTATAGTAGATCCTGTAATATACATTATTATATTTTCAGCTGAATAA